TTAACTAGCCTGCAGTTTCGGATTCCTGCTCGCATCCATCATCTGAGACAACAGCTGAAACAGGTGATTCACACACAATGGGCTGCAGTATTTATAGGATGCAGTCGCCATGCTACCGTATACCTATGAACATTCACCCCTCCCCCCTTCATCCGGGATCATCGCACTTCTTGTGCTAATTGTTTGATGGCAGACATTCACGTCGTTAATTGCTGCAATTTCATCACGTGCGTTAGATGTTGGTGTGATGATTGCTCGACCATCTGATGCATCGACCCTGGTGTTGGGACAAGTGTTCACATGTGCGCTCCCCGCGTGGTTAATTACTCCGCCTAGGCGAAGTTTCAGCACCGAGTATGCAAGGGGAAGTTCATTGCACTTGCTAATTGAGTGGGGACCAGTAAACCATGATTCAAGTAACTCCCAGCTCACGTGGTTGTCGCCTCTTACGAGAATTTCGACCTCGTCGAATTTGAATGTGTGGCCGGATCTCGTCGAACTTGAGAGCTGGCGTCCTTTCTCCGCACCGCTGCAGCGTGTTCGGTCATTTTTGTTCGGAGCAGTCTTCCGGCTTCTCCGACGTAGTTACGTTTTCCGCAAATGCATCAGATCCAATAAACGACTGCAGACGTTTCTAGCCGTGCAGTGTGTCTTTCGGTTTCGTTAACTGACGCCTGATGGTTGCCTCCGGTCTGTGTGTAACTCTAACCCCAAGTGGTGTGAGAAGGCAGTCGACAAGTTCCGAAACGTTCTTGGCATACGAAACGCCCACCAAGATGTGATGTCCATGCAGTTGGGCCTTACGTCCCTTTTGCGTATGCACCGGTTGACGAAGTTGCGTGGGTAGCCATTTTTCTTTCAATACCCGTCGGAGGAATAGTAATTCGGCAATCTTGTCTTCCGACTCAGTGTAGTGCGTTTCGACACGCCCACAGAGCATCCTTACACAACTGCGTTTGTGGCTGATTAGGAGGTTGCTGTTGAAGTTCAGTACTTACATCGTATTTGTCGCTTTCCTGAACATTTTGGCCTTTAGTCCACTACAATCTTTGCGGCATACGAGTACATCCAGGATAGAAAGCTGGTTGTTCTCTTCCATTTCCATTGTAAATTGAATGTCCGGGAAGACAGCGTTGAGATGTTCTTTAAACGTCAGCACCTAGTCCCGTTCGGTGAAGACGAAGGTATCATCCACATACCGGGCCCAGAACTTTGGTCTGTGGTGTTGGAGACCAGTGACTCTAACCGTTACAGGACCGCCTCGACGATGATTACCGAGATCGGCGAACCCATTGGTGAGCCCTTCACCTGTTCATACCTTGTCCCATCGAACTTAAAGTACGTCCTGAGACAGAGCTGAAGGAGTTGAAGGATTTGGGCGTGTCCAAGACGATTCTCCGTTTCATCGTATTTGGTTTATAATAGCAGCTTGATTGTCTTGACCGCCAGGTCCTGGAGAATAGAAGTAAAAAGCGATGCAGCATCAAAGGATACCATGACCTCATTTGGATGGAGGCTTATCCCTTTGAGTTTCTCCAGGAATTGTGCTGACGAAGAGACCGTGGTGTCTGATTCAGCAGTCAGGAACTTGAGACGACGGAACAGCCACTTAGCCTGTCCGTACGTTGGGGTCCCTTTGAGCGACACGATGGGTCGGAGAGGAGCGCCGTCTTTAGGCACCTTAGGGAGACCATAGAATCGAGCCAAAGCCGCATCTTCGGGTCTCGCCATGCGCCTATCGGCCGGTGTTATTGCACCTGCGTTCTCTAAGGCCAATAATGTAGCATTAATTTTGCATGCCAACGTTTTTAAAGGGTTTGTTGCACATGGGGCATATAACTGTCGGTCCTCCAGTAAACTTTTGGCTTTTTTAAGGTAGTCTGTCCTGTCCATTACAACCGTGGAGCGCCCCTTATCCTCTGGCACGATGATCACGTCTTTGTCGGCCTTGAGTTCTCTAAGTGCATCAGGTTCGACCTTGGAAAGCAATTCCCGCGGCCTATGGGCCATCAGGAGAGACGACACTTGGTGCCGGATGAGGCTCTTGGTCTCCTCCGTTGCCTCCGTCTGACAATGGATTAATTCCCCTGCTGCAATCATGCTAACAGGTTTTGCGTCAGCCGTGTTAGATGAAGCTTCGTGTCGTAAAACCTTCATCCGATTCTTCGTTGGCTCCTTTGACAACAAGTTGGGCATTAGTTTGTCATTTCTGGGCGACGATGGATTGGGCAGCTTTCGGAAATTGTTCTCCAGTGCTTCGTTGCGTATCATTCTCTGTTCGCGAGCTTGTTCAGCTATCCTCTGCAGGAGAAGATTTGTACTGATCTTGCCCATGAACTCACAGTATCCGGTTTTTTCTTTGTCAACCCTTTGACGGCACTTGCGAAGTCTCGCCTAGCATTCTTGAAGGAGGACTCTGATCATCCTTCTGTCGTGCTGGAATACTGTTCGGCTCGCTAAATCCGTGTTAACCGGGGGCTTATATGAAACACATTTCGGTAACACATTATTGTCGTGACATCTGTGCAGAAACCGGATCTGCGAATACGTGGAGGCTTCCCGAAGGGCGAAGGTTTCCCATAGCCGGGCCGATCGGAGCGCATCACACCCAAATACATTGCCAATGGAAGCGAAGAGACGAGC